AAAGCAATATGTAACAAAAATTTATAACTTTATAGTTTAAAGTTGATGATTTTGTTTAGTAATGATAATGGAGAAATCTTTATTTAATATTATTAAGCTTTTAGTTTGTTTGAAATTAATGGTTCTAATTGACGCGACTAGTTTGGAGTGCTTTTCAGCAGATTCAGCAGACGAATGAAATATCAAATGTTGTGACAATTTCTCGCTATTTCCGCTGCATTAAAGATCTATTTAGCTGCGTGCAGTGGGTGAATAGCGGGTGATTATACAGCCTCCGTGCCTACATGAGTTCACTAACTACTCTAGCAGAATACTCAATGTCGTGTCAACTGTTGCTCTATTTATAATTTAAATCGATTATACAGCAAGGCTGTATAGTAAAATAATTGTACTTTTTGGTTGGTTGTATGTGGAAAGGATGGACTATTTAACGATAGAAAATCGTTAATTTAATTTATTTGTATAGTTTAGGTTAGAATTTTTCGTAATATATTTGTCTATGATTTAATAAATAAATCAAGATTAATAATGCAAGGTTTTAATATTTATCATACTTTATCTACATTATACATACAAACTAATACTGATTTCATTTTCTCTTCTTAAACCGTGTATAAAATAAATTTTCTACTAAAACCGTTTACTTTTTATGTTGTTTATAGATACCATATAAAAAGTTGAGAAAAGTGGAAGTCGTAGAACCAATGGACTTTCTATGTGCGTATCAAACACTCGCTGGTACGGTGAAAGAAAACATCGAGAAGAAACCGGCATGTCTCAAATCCACATATCGATTACGTCGTGAATCACCTGTATTGGACGGAAGGCTCTAAGAAATTAAAATTATGAAAGTAACGGATGCAATCTTAGATCCATATAGGGTTGTAGCGTCACTGGAATATAATTATTATTTAGGTACCATATAAGTAAAATGGTAAAGTACAACAAAGGCTTGCGTGGGTTTACCTTTTGTCCTAGTTTCGATGCGAGTCTATAATTCAAATTTGCATCTTAATAGCTTTGGTGCGAAGTACGCTGTGGATTTTAATTGGTTTTGTTCCATCAATTTCTACATATCGTAAGTGGATTAGACCTGACATTTCTTTAATTTTATATACATCTAACGAGCCTCCACTTCCTTATTGTTCTAATGGGAATCCAAAGTCGGCACTAGTCTAAAAGTAAGAGTTGGGAATTAACAAACTAACACTCCCAATGTCAATAACTTTTTTGACATATAGAAGTCACACTCAGCGCTCAAGCCTCGTTTCTGAATATCACCCTAAGATTGGAGATTAGCGCGAAGTATGAATCCCGATTATCTCAATTCCTCGAGTCACGTCAAACATTTAAAAGTAGCAAAAATAAACAGTTTAAACCAGTACTGAAATATGTTATACAATATGAATATATTTATATGAACTTATAAAAAGCAGATGTGATTAACATAGTAATTTATATATGTCTATTTAAATAAACTCATTAAGCTTAAAAGGTTTTATATAAACAGACAAGCAGGCGCCGTTTCACGATAATATCACTTAGCATCAATCATTGTCGATCCGTTTTTATTTATCACTTCATAATAAACTATAATATAACATTGTGAATACGCCATGGTGGCTACCATTATAATGTCTGATACATTACTAACGAATTAATACCCGCAGCTGAATTTTATCTTGGTACGTCGAGGCAGAATACGAAATTTGAACCGTATCACCTCGACGTCTGTCGTTCCACAATTGAGCATTTTTAAGGCAGTTATTATTATACCACAACTAAGTGGCACCAGCTACCCACCGATGTATATCCGAACCAGTTCGTCTTAGGGTCCTGCAACACACTTGCGAGCCTGGAAATGTGAGTGCTAATGGGCGGCAGTATCACTTAACAGCCACCTGACCGTTTGCCCCCTGTTACATGAAAAAAATATCTATCATTAGTAGCAGTGTTGACCTAGTGGCTTTAGCGTGCTACTCTCATCCCTGGGGTCGATCAATCCCCGGCTGTGCTCCAATAGACTTTCGTCTATGTGCACATTTAACACTCGCTCGTACGGTGAAGGAAAGCTTCGTGAGCCAAAACGTCGACAGAGTGTGCCGGACAGAAGGTTGATCACCACATACTTGCATATTACGTAGAAATGATCACGGAACAGATACAAAAATATGAGCCACAGGCCCAGACCTAAAAGGTTCTAGCGCCATTGGTTAATAAATTACTATGCATTCTAAAATATACTATGAGACATAAAAAAGATGTCATTACAATTTAATAGAATTCATAGTGAGAAGAGAATAATCTAGCCAAGTGTTAGTCATGCTCAAGGCTGATTTCACTCGTAAGTTGCTACGACAGTGCCGTCAGTAAAACGAAAAATAATATAATTTTAACAACAATACAGTTTTCTCTACAGTGTCCTACCAAACATGAGATTCGTATGCGATACAAATAGATCCTTTACCTGCCATAAAGTCTTGTCGCTGTCATTAACTTCATAGGGAAAGTTTCTAATAGGTTTTAACAATAAATTTTACTTGATTTATTTTTAGAATTAAGTTGCAATGTAATTAAAAATGCTGGCCGTGGGTCAAAATCTAAAACGAAAGATCGATAGCGCGTTTTGTATTGGAATAGGTCATATAGAAAACATATTGTGTCGTGTGTGCGCGTGATTAATTATTTACTTTGATATATCTCATCGTCTTCTTCCACTTACCCTCCTACTATGAATCGTGGCAGTTACTACCGTTTGCATTTTACAAAACCAGTAATGCTTTCGAGGAATTCAATATTATTATGTTTAATAATTCTAACAAACAGCTGAAAAAAGGGTTTCTCGTTGGATAAACCGAGTAGCGTATCTAATATGAATATTGATCGTATACCTAACGCGTTGATAAAACCCAATATTAAAATCGGTATCAGCAATGGTAGCTTTAGAAGTACTTAGCCATACAGAACAAACATATTTCTTGTCTGTAAAACCTTATCTTATGTACCTTCGTCTAAGTTTCCATTGTTATCTATACACGAAACTTGGACATTAACTATTGACTGTTCAGTGCTTACGGTTTTACTTCTTTGTTATATTCTTCTGTTTTAATACAGTACATTTAAATCGAAAATACTGTTATTTTGAGTTTAAGTCAGAAGTTAAGATATCCTATTTTCAATGCCCAAATACGTGCATACTCTGCAAAGTCTATACATACATAAATAGGTACTAAATATTTACAGAACATTCCTAAAATATCTTATTGTAATCTTAATAAATGTCTGAGATTAACTTTATTTTTACCAACATCAAAAGAATTCTAATTTAATAAATTTGACGTGTATTTTTGTGTATTTTCAGCGAATATGTATTTGTAATCAGATTGATAGTTTTGAATAATTGTTAAATAGCAAGAAATGTCTGAACTTGTTTTGTTTCAATGATAAATAATTTACTATATTTCTAGCATGTATGGTCTAAAAGAAGACCAGAGTATCGATCGATACATCTTTCGTAAAACGAGTATAACCGTGAAAGGGGTTGACAGCGAAAATTTAAACTAGGCACTGTATATTATGAGCTTAGCTTGTCTCATATCCTCTTTGCTTTCGGGGCAAGCTTAGTCTGCCATTCACGCCGAAAACTAGGCTACAAACTGTATGCTTTAAGCGACTCACACCTACATAACTATAGGTATTAGCTTTTAGTACAAAATGACCTTTTAAATAGGTACCTATTATACAAAGTTGCATCATGTTAGCAGCAAAATTGTTCATTAAAATCAGATTTTGTTGGTGATATTTGCTTCTGCTTTTGCTTGATAAATATGGTATTTACGCGAGTTTTTTTAATATAACGAAGCAAACGGGTTCGTTCACCTGATGTTATGGACACTCACAATACCAGAAGGGTCGCAAGTGCGTTGCCGGCCTTTTAATATAACAATACCAATATGGCAATATTGGTATTTTTTCTCGTTATATTAACAACATTACAATATATAAGTTTTTTTAAGCGTATATAGACTATAAATGTCGATCTATTCAAACTTCGATATTGTTGGACTTTTCTAGAACAGGGGTTGTGTGATAAAGTTGACCTGGGAATTCATTTATTAAGAGCGATAACTCAAAGGTTCCGAATTCAATATATACTAAACATTAAATGGTTTTATTGGTGTAAAACAAATATAGATTTTTTTACCCATAAAAAAGCAAAGAATCCGAATAATAAATAAAAATAATTACTCATAACCATATTCACTGGTTCAACTTAAATCTTCAAAAATAGCCTACAAAAAAGTATAACGTTTAACAAATTAAACTAAACAGTTCATTTGAAATATCATTTTTATTTTAAAAAATGGTTTAAAATACTCCTATATTTATCCAAGCTAAAACAACACCAAACTAAACCTATTGTATTTAATTCTGTACTAGTTTTTATAAATATAACATTGAAAAGGCTTTTGACGACGATAATTAGACTTACCTATCGTGTATTTTAACAGCAGCATCATAAACATAATTCGGACATGTTTCGGATACATTCTTTGACACCACTTAAACATTAAATAGAGATTTCTAGTTGAACAAAGGTGACCAAAGAGATTCCAGTTCCTATGTCTTCCTTTTTATTAGATATATTAAACCTCGAATGTTTTATTTATTGTGCTTTGAAGAACTCGTAAAGCTTTCGTGCTGCATGAAACAAACCTGGCGGGACTTTTGGTTTTCGAGTTCAATGCCCAGCCTTAGTAAATATTGCGATGAAGTTCAGTTCCCAAATCTATTTGGGATCCTTATTTCATAAAAGATATTAATATGCTTGAAAATGTTCAAAGAAAAGCCACGAAAATAGTCAGAGCCCTTATAATGAGCGTCTGAAAGCACTTGATCATACCGATTTAGGAAGTAGGCGATTAAGATGTAATCTCGGTGAAACGTATAAAATCCTTACTCGTCACTATAATGTTCCCGGAATTGAGAAGCTCTATATTTTAAGTAAGAACACACATTTGAGAGGTAGTTCTTCTCAAATTCTCTAAAGAACTTTCTTCCACACCTGATTCGCTGATTGGAATAGGTTCCGGAAAGTTCTGGAAAGCACCCTCTTTAAACTCTAAAAACACGTTAGATAATTTCTCCAAATCTGGAAAATACGTCCGTATCTGCTTATTAAGCGGCTAGTGTGTTTATCTACATAATAATAATAATAATAATAATAATATACGGTAACGGACTTACCCATATCATCGATGAGTGGCGCCATCCGAAGCGTAACACCAACAAGTAACAGACAAAGGAAGAGGAGCAGGCAAGCAGTCACCATAATCGTATAGCGAGCTCGACGGGGCAGCTCATCAGGGTCCAATACCTGGATATGAGATTTGTTTTTATGCAGACAAAAAACCGAACAACCATATAAAGCAAGTAGCATACAAAGGTAATAGCTACCAGTTCTAAATTTTTCTAATATATATACGGTTCCTGGGTCTGCTTTAAATAATAGAGGATTTTATTTTTAATCTATATGCGTGCAACAATAGAATATATGCGAAATAATTAAATGTTAATTGCTATGTAACGAATGAATGCAATGCTAAGGAGAGTGCTTACGTCTGGATATACTTTCGGGGCGTAACTTCGAAGAAAAAGGTAATCGCCACGCTTATAAAACTGAGAAAGCCTGAGTGAGCAAAATTTACAGCCTTGGCTCGTACAATATGTATCATGAATGTTCTGTTCTAGATATTATTATTTCTTATATTCTATATTTATTAGTTAATACAGAAGTAATGATTTTCAAATATTAACTCTAAAGTTTCTATGAAACTTTCAAAACTTCCGACGGAACTGTACAGAAGGTGATTTGTAAAAGCGCCACCTATTATTAATTTTGTGAAACAATACTTTGGTGAAAATTATCGCGTTGTACAAGAAAGAGGTGTTTTAGAACATTTCTGTGGTTTTAGATAGATGGCGCTTAATGTAAAATATGCTTAACATTATGCTAGGTTCAACAATATCTTTCAATCTCTATTATTGAATACTTAGTAGTACCTTAGTGATATTTTTATGACAATTTAACATAATGTAATTTTAAAGGATATTTTGCGAGATTTTTATAATAGTGTCATAATTCAAATGTAAAAGCCAGGCAATTGAAGATTTTACTTAAGAAAAAGATATACGCTATTATATTTAAAAAAGTGATATAATTACGTGTATAACTTTCGCCTGTTCGTCAATAGCGGATACGAGAAGAGTCCTATGTTTCTTAGGCTTGTGTGCATGAGAGTGGTGACGTCTCCGCCTACGTCGTCTGCGCTCCATCTCATAACACTCAGGACTGTGTATATCGCTGTAAAAATACACGTATCAATCACGTATGTTATTTATTTATTTATTTTTATTCATTAGTTTATTAAAATGGAGAAAGCAAAGAATATATCAAAATGGAAAGTTCGGAAGGAGGCCTTTACCCAACAGGGGTCCAAACTGCAGAACACGAAGTAATGGAAATAACAATAAGTGTATAATAACAAAACTAACACCCATCTGATTTGTATTTTTTATATTATGGAATTAAAGTGGCTCTATTATTATTTTTTATTCATTAGTATAATGTCACGAATTACTTATTTTTTTTATTTAACAGTTTATTGATAATTTCAACCTTTACATCGTTTCAATGTTCTAATCGATAACAGATTTAATTAAGACGAAAGATTTTAATGGCATGTAGTAACGAATAAACTGGACTACTTCAAAAATTATTTCAGCTTTAGAACGCATTATATCTGAGTAATTTAGTTCCAAAATATTAAAAAAAGTCCAGCCGCTTCCGGTCCGGTTATGAAATGAAACCTCGACCGAATTGTAAATAATATAAAGCTATATTTTAGTAGAATGTTATTCTTAAAATCTTTATAATATCATATTAAATATTATTCGAATCAACAAATTTTAGCTTTAGTATCACGGTTTGAAATCGAGCTAAGTACAAGTTGGAGAAACCTTCAACGAAATAAAAACTTAAACCAAACAATGCTTCCTAGTTCTGCGATGAAAGCACCTAAAATTAGGCTAAGACTCTTAACTAAGTTGGGTTTCGTCTAGGGTACGCAAAATAAAAACAAGTGCCTCAACATTTGCAGAGGCTACGAATATAATAAAACCGGAAACTACGGCCTACACGGTTTCTGGCTGTATGGCAAAATGAGTGCTAAGGTCAGAAATATTTTTCAAATTTCTTTTTAATCGTTGTACTTGTTTTAACGTTATATTATCTAAAAGGGACAGTAAAAGAAGAAGTGCCTTTAGCCTCCGATTATATCCTAAATAGGCTTAATAATATTTCAAATCTTGTTGAATAACTTTGTATCCGACTCTTAATTTACTAATAGATACATTTAAAAAAACTATAAAATGACGAACATTCCCTATTTACGTTTTGGCCTCAGATTGATTCCGTTTCTTAGATAATTCTTTTTTCATATACAAGTTGGTGATCAGCATTCTGTCTGATACATGACGTCGATTTTTGGAAATGAGACATTTACTTTCCTCACGATGTTTTCTTTCATCGTACGAGCGAGTGTTATCGAACCTAAGACCTCAGGGATGAGATTCGCACGCTGAAGCCTCAAGGTCAACATTACTTTTTTATATTGAGATTATTCAGATATAACATAAAATAAAAAAAGTTACCAAAGTTTTAGTGAATACGAGGAAATTCCGGCAGATTGTTAAAACTTTTAATTGTATTGTAAAGTTCTATCTCCAGCTAAAACTCGTAAATCGCCTGATTCTACATATCGTAACATTGTATTTTTATTGAATTTGCGAAAGAGCAACCGTCACTTTTGTTTTATTTTAGCACTAAGTAATATTAATTTATAATACTAAGGCGGTACAACTCTGTATAGGTCTTGGCCTCAGATGGGATGGGAATCCTTTAATACTCATATATGTAAACAATGTAACTTGTGTATATATATATATATATCATTAAAGAAAATCAGCATAGCTGTTTATTTATTTATTTAATTCAATAAAGTTGCCAACACGCTACAGTTTCAAATAATATTCTAAATACAAGGCTTACTAGCAACGCGGCTATATCCTGCCCGTTATCCCCAGTTTTATATAAAGAAATAACTTACCCATGATGAGTATTAAGTTTCAGTTTCTTATGCTTTCTTTTAGGACCCTCATGTTCACACCAATGTCTGATTCCTCCGCCGGGGCTCTCTACTATAGACGCCTCCTCTGTAATAAATGTATAAGAATATAATATAATTATGCTAAATACTATGATACATACATCCGACTACATTATATTTACAGAATATTACAATAATTATTCTTAATTTAATATTTAACGATTAACCTATCGATATAAAACGGAATAATCGCATTTAATTAGACATAGAGACATACATTATATTTTATTTATTTCACATTTTAAGTTATGAATTCAATCTCAAAAGATATTGCTAGAAACATATTTACTCACTGGAGCGTTAAAGATATATTCATGTCACCTGTAGGCACAGTCTATTTTACAAAGGATCCGTGCTTTCGTTTACACTATTTTAAAGAACTGCCCTGCGATTCTGTAACTCACTTTTCGAACTCACACAGCGGTTTTCGCATCGGCGGTCGCTCTCAAATCAGTCGTAGGATCAGAATCGCAGGGCAGTTATATATTATCCATTCGGCGGGATTTTTATGTATTTATACATAAAATAGCCCGCTGAACATACATCGATGGCAAGAGGAAGAGAACAGTGGAGCAATTTTGTGTTGAGAAGTATTAAACTGATGAGATGCCCAAGGTACAATAAATATTTTGGGCATAATCTCATCAAAAGAGAAATACAATTTAGAAGGTACCATATTAAGAAAACAGCTTTTTATTATTATTATATACCTCGAACAGGCCACGATATAAGATCTGAATCCGAAATAAAAGATAGCAAAATATATTTCAAAACAAATTGAACGAAAAAAAAACCAGATGACTTGGCCACCGTCATGCGTAAAGAACGTTCGTATAAGAAATAAATAATAGTTTAAAAAAACTAGAACACACGCTTTATATAGAAAACTAAACTAAAAAACGGAAAATAAATTTTAATAAATATAAGTTATTAATAGTTTGAATAAGAAAAAAAATGTTTTATTGTAAAAAAAGCGGGGGTGCTTTTCAAGATATTTAATATGATATATATTAAATATTCATAACTATTGACACCATGCACCCCACGATAACTTAAACTATTATTTATTTTTTATTTTTTAGTTAATTATTTTTTTTTTCGGATTATTGCATTGTCATCGATCTTTGACATGTGCGCAAGTTTGAATTAAATCTGTCCGTTAAAAGTGGGTCAAAATCGAGTCCGAAGGAGTCGGTTACATACATACATACATACAGGTGAAGCGAATATAAGCGTGTTAAAAACTATGACCCCTCTTTAAATGTATTATAGCTTACTGTTATGAATTTCGGTTTTTATTGATTAGATTAAATCTCACACCAACATTTCATCAAATATTGTATGATAACTTTGAAAGCACAGATAACGCGAACACAATACAAATAATCCATTCAAATAAAACAATGAATAGACTTACATTCCTGGAACTTTGACTATTTATTTATGATTGTTCACTGTTCAGTCCTCTTTGTCATATTAATAAGTTTATAACTCATATAATTTAGTTACATTACAGCTATACGCACACCTTGTTTGTTTAACATTAGCTGTGCATTCGTATTTTAGAAATAAAAACATACTTAGACGCAATAATTAATTATACTATTATTATAAGACGAAATGGGTAGTGAGATTAGATTAACAATAAGATAAACGCATTCATGCATAGTTATATGATCTATATTTTATTGGAATGAGGGACAACTCAACATTGGAAAAGTCATTGTAACTCAACAATACCACAGTTATTGATTCAATTCAAGCGGCCCGGGCGAATTATCACGATGGTCTATTTGAAACATTTTGAAAACCATTTCAGATTTGTTTAGTGCATAACTTACACAAATTATTATTTGGTATTCTATTAAGGCTTAAACATTAATCATTTAAAGAAACCGCCAAAACTTCTTTAAGGTAGCTGGTGTCCACGTTCTAACTTCTATACCATATATTATTTTTCGATCAAAAACAGCCTCCGAGGAAATTACACTCCAAGTTAGTATTAAGATAAGACACGCGTAGGCATTATTTACTGGTAAGGTACGTATCGTCGATTCGAGAAATCTGAGATCGTTGCCATGAGAGACATAAAAATCAATTTTATTATTTTACTCCATAAAACTGTTTAAAACCATGTTCTATACGGAATACTCAACAACGCTTTATTTTTCATACCGTCGAATAATGAAGCTATTCAAGTTTTTTTCGTCTTTGCAACTAACCCATAGCATATATAGCCTTTGTATACAATTAGTAGGGCAATACTGAATTATTATATTGATTATCGCAATATTCATATATATTCACCATTCAGGGGCAGTTGCAGACTTAGATTCTCATTTATAAATATACTATGTATATACTTCAGAAATCAGGACGTAATCAGTTTGTCCTGTATGTATATGATATTTGTTGGAACTGAATAAAATTTGAGTATGATACATATAGGTATAATAGGCGTAGGAGTGTGATAAATTTCGTTAGTTAGTCATATCGGGAAAAGTCCGTGTTTCATCAAAATCGGTTCATTAGTTCTTGAGAGTCATTAGTTTTTAGCTGATATGCATAAACTAGACAGAAATGAACCAATTAGCACCGTGTGAGTGCTACCTACTTTGCTTTCATACGGGAGTGTGGCAATTTACAGTTTGCAAAGCTTTGAATTGCTTTTAAAACTACTAATTATATATGCACATTATTTCTACTATTAGAGCAGTATTGGCCAAGTGACTTCAGCGTGTGAGTCTCATGCTTAAGAGGTTTGATCCCCGGCTGTGCATCGATGGACTTTCTGTCTATATGCGCATCTAACACTCTCTCGAACGATGAAGGAAAACATTGTGAAGAAACTAATCAAAAAAGAAAAAAATCGTGTCTCAAATCCAAAAATTTACGATGACGAACAATGTTTAAGACAGATGGTTTATCACCTACTTGTCCATGAAATAAAAATGATCAAAAGAGGTGAAAAAGGCGAAGATCCATATAGTGTTGCTGTGACATTATTATTAGGATTATTCTTATTATTATCTACACCTAATATGTATAATGAAATTTTGGGTTACATGCCTTTGTGCTGTACCTACTAACCGGAGACAGTTATGATGGAATATAGCTTCTTTGATGGCGTCGCGGTATATGTTATCCTAAAGATACCATGATCTCAGGATTCGACCCCGGACGCAACATAGATTTAAATTAGATTTGTAATATGTTTGCCCAGTAACCTGACCGAATGGTTAAAGCTCTAACGTGCGGAAGTTTACAGGGAAATGTCTATTACAACAGCTGTACTGCTATGCCTAACCTAGGAAGACATACATCGGAGACCCAAGAAGCACCCAGGAATTAAACCATAAAGCCTTTGCAGATGAAAAATTTTTTTTTGCAGTTTTATCTTTTACATTGTCATGTATTTTTCAAGCTGTCTCGAGTAGAGGAGTCTATTTACCGTCAGGCAGATGGTCCCGTAACAGCAGAAGTAGGGGATGTGTGCGAGCGCGCCGTCTCGTATGCTCCGCGTGAAGTGCGCGTGACTTCCGCTCTACTAACGCGACGAGTACAGCCTCCAGACGCGCCGCACCCGATTCCTCCGTCCACACCGCTTTGTCGACCGTCTATTAACCAAAAAGTACATCTTAATATAACCGAATACAAAAGGTTTTGTTAAGCTAGACCTATTAGTTAGTTTTCAAGTGACGAAAACTGTTACAAAAAAATTCTGGAAATAGCCTGTATAATTTATATCGTATGACTATTTATTTCTATTTGAAAATAGAGCCCGCCGTGTGCGTGTGTGCAAAAATTAAGTGTACTGCATTTTCACCTTTAAACAACGATCTAACCTAAATTTTTATCGATTTTTTTAATATCAATGTAAAATAGTATTACACATTATCAGCGCCTTGGCGAAATAAATAATCTGTTATATTGCAAAATCCTGATCTATATAACCATTATCGTCCAATAAAAACGCGAAATCATTCCTCAACTATCTAATAATCGATTAAGAAGTTCGAGGCACACAATGCCTACTAATAATGTATTATACTTCTTAGTTCTCCTTGCTGCTTGACTTGCACTAAAGCAAACTTTATTAGGTATTCCTTAATGGTAAATGTATAAGAGTTGGACAAGTAACTTTATAATATCTTCTTTAATATAATTTTATAATAAATAGCATCAGGTCACGCAATTTTCCTTCAGCAATGATAAAATTCTGAAGACAACTTACGACCTTTAAGTCAACCAAAGACTTATTTTAGATATTCAATGAATTCCGAGACTAGAAATCGAAATAATAGAAATCCTTATAATGAAACCGCCAATATTAACACGGTAAACTCGAATTCGATCCAGCTAAATCATTTTTATACAAAATGCGGTCAGCACCATCAGACGCAGAAATATGTATATCTATGGTTATGGAACTTTTAATATGAATAACAAAGAAATTACTAATGACGAGCAATTACGGTTATACATATTAATAATAATAATCGGGTGGCGCTGTAACTCTAATGGGTGTGGGCCTCATTTTGCATAAAATGTTTCTTTGATTATTTTCATTTAATAGACAAGTCAGTTTCCTCACGATTTATCTTGGCCTTAAGTATTTATTCGGAACACAGAAAAAAAAAAAATTGGTGCAAGGCCGGGATTTAACGCATGACCTCAAAGGAAATCAAAATATAATTTATAGTTAACACAATGTACACTTATGAACGTAAGTAAAAAAACAATTCTTCTAAACATTCAATGTCAGTTCTCAAATTTAAGGGCGTAGAACGGACGAGAAGAACTGACAATAAACTCGTCACTCTTTTAAATCGCCAAGGTTTTTGATTGTAAGAGATAAGAGTCATAGGTTAAAGACACTTGCAATATTGTTATATTAAAAGTGCTACTCTAAAAAGTACTATTAAAAGTACAAACAACTATTTTAGTATTATTAAAAGTAAAAACTCATAGTGGATGAGGTTTGAATAAAAAATGCCAGAATATTAAACAGAATACACGTATTTGTAGAATCCGAATGGTAAAGTTACAAAGCCGTACAAAAATCTAGGTAAATGAAGCCTCCATTTGTTGTTATTGTTGTTGTGTACATTATACATGTAACAAAAGGTTAACTAGAGCTTAACTCATAGCAACTAAACACCAATTGAGATCTTATAGACGAACTTTCTAAGACAAACTTGAGTTGTGAAATATTGTGAACTTTTCGTATATAAAGTTATGAAACTTATCTTTGTCTAAACTAGTTCCAGTTCAGCCCCGTAAACAAAAGGGCATGAGGCATTGCATTTTCATGTATTAAGTAATGGGCCTTTTGTGACAGTATTACTATTAAATAAAAACCGTCTACCTAGTCAAGTATAGACCTAGCCGGCCCTAATGCTAATGCTTCCTAATGTAATAAATCATTGATTGTCATTTGTTTTCTTACAATTATTGGATTCAGTATAAAGCAAATAAACATTGGTATAAATAATAAAAATAAGCGTGTTCAATACACAATAAAATAGTACCTTATAGCATGGGTAGTTAATGTAACTACAAATGTTATTTAGGTATTCTGTTATCTATTTACCACACTAAAACCACAAAAATATGATAAGGCGAAATATATGATAACGTTAAAATGAATTTTATATGAATTCTATTGTTAATATTTTAATCAGATTCATACTCTTGAAAGTCTACTTCAACAGTCGTGTCTTCTTCGATTTCTTCTTCCTTCCGGGAATTTTTCTCTTTAAAATGTATTTATTGACTGGACTACTATGTGGACTATTTCAATAGGCAACTATTAATGTTAAAAGGGTTTCAAAGAAACGTGTAAATTCTAGATTGCGAGTGAAATTACAAAAGCGAAGTCGATGTCTTTCAAACGACAGATTTGCTTTTTATTTTAAATCATCCGCTTTGTACTTAAGCTTTTAAATAAGCTTACAGATTAAAGAGTATAAGATGTTTCAAACCGTAATTGTAATATGAGGCAGATGAAGTCTAATTACTATTTGAGATGTAAATTGTACTGTGCCCTGTGTAATTTGCGTTGATTCGGTCGAAAGCGTAATACTAACCTAACCCTTTCTCGATAAGTGAAGTATACAAAAACAATAGTTCAATTAGAAATTGTACCCAGTTTCTTGGCTTTATAAGATCACAGTATAGACACAGCATCAATCTTTAATCTATGCGATTTTTAATGCTAAAAAGTACCTATTGTTTATAGCAACTCTTATGGTCTAAATTTTTTAAGATACAAATTATTGTTGCGATTGTATATCATTTATGGTTATTTAATTTCAATAGATTTTCAGTTATCATGTGAACAATATGGTAATTAAAAATTATCACTACTACAGTAGTAATAAAGGTTGCAATAAAAGAAAACATGAATACACCGTAGTATAATTCATTTAAACGAAAATAAACAAACCAAGTCCTCACTTAAAAATAATGTACCTTGAAGGTGGAACCCGCTCCACGAAAAGGTGTCTGTTATACAGAAGATAAATAGATTGCATGTAGCGGAATAACCTTTTTTTTAGTTTTATTAATATTTAGCTTTCTTTTATGACTTAAGTTTTTTTTTTACTTTAAAAATAAGTGAGTGCCTCTGGGCGGCATTATCACTTAACATCAGGTGAGTCTCCTGCCCGTTTGTCCCGTTAGAAAAAAAATAAATGACGCCGGCAAAACTCGTTCCAGGATCCAAAGCTGTTGAAAAGTTTACTCGTACATCAGTGTCCCATAAATTAATCTGTCCCATATGACTTTTACTTACATCGGTCGACTGCTGGCGCATGTTGAGCCCGCGGCCGGCCCATAAGGCGGATCATCGCCTCGCCCCTATTGGCTCCCAGCATACATCTGGAATAAAAATACGCCGAATATTCATGTTTTAATTAAAAATATTGGCAACATACTCGCCTCATTCCCAATTCCATTGCCTCATTTTACATAGATATGTAGAATGTAAAATTAAGGCAAGCAAAACAGAAAAAGGATTGCGCTAAAAAACCTATCTAAATTCAAGTGCCCAGTAAAGTTTACAAGTTATATAAAGTCCTGACTAACTACACCGTTAAAAACTCCCTGAACAATGACCGTAGACGTGTATTTTTCACCGCATTGCAGAGATATACACGGAGCTTGGTATATTTATAATTTCGAGGTTTATCCAATATGCAAACAGTCTCACTGACCAGTTGAGATTCATTTCCATGAAAATGACTGTAAACTGCTAGCCGAGTCCTGAAAAATCCAATTTACACCGTTTTTATTTCGCATATTCTGAGGTTAACGAAGCACGGATGAATTTTATGCGTAATGTATAAAAACCCTTTTGAAAGTGCCTGTAATTTTATGACGTTTGAAATCAATAATGTTATAATTCGAATAGATATTTTATAATTTACGACTAGTATTACTAATTTACAGTTTTACTGCCGCTGCTAGTATTGATAATATGCCGCACTAACCATTTGGTCAATATTATAACCAAGATTCGAATTATTTATAGTACTAGTGGACCCCACAGACGTTGTCCTGCATGATATTTAAAGCGATTAGGATATTAAGCAAAGTATGAAAGTACCGACTGCAGTGCCATCTGCCGGGCTGATTTGTGAATCTAAACCATTCCCAGATCCCCTTGAACACACACAAAAAATTTCATCAAAATCGGTCCAGTCGTTTAGGAGGAGTTCAGTCACATACACACGCACACAAGAAATATATATATTAAGATATAAATAGTCATTAGATGGTGATTACTTCCTTCGACATTTACAAAATTAATAGTGTCTTTAACAAATCATCTAAAAATCTGTTCATAATTATGAACCACTGAAGTATTTCCAAACCAATTCGACTTAGGGTCTTTCAAGAAAAGAGAGTATAAATTCTTAAAAGGCCGGCAAGGCACTCGCGATCCCTCTAGAATTGAGGCTGTGTCAATGGGCGGTATCACTTAACATCAGGTGAGCCTCCTGACCGTTTTTCTATAAAAAAATATTTTTAAGAATTGGAATGTGTTCATTCATGTTGAAGTTATAAAGAATATTTGTGAAAACCTTTTTTTTGTGCCTGTACCTACTAGTAACGCACGTAAACGGTGTATATTTAAAAAATCATATAGTATAAAATGCGTTTTAATATCATCATGTTACTTTGTTGACAGTGTCATGCGGTCTTGAAACGTCGGAACAGTTTATGAAAATTCATAATAAATAATTGATAAATTGTAATAACAGAATGTGTTTTAATCCACGAAGTTTTCTTTTAAAATGTATATCCATTGTTACAGCCCTAAATAGGCCAACAATAACATTAATAATTCCACTTTGTAAATCGATACCAATGAGGTATTTTTGTCTTCAAGTCTGGTCAAACTTTTATTTATTGCGAGTGTCATTTAGCGTATACACACAGTTAAGTCAAAAAAACACTTTGAATAACTCAAGTGAACTGTTTTTTGGTTTAAAATAAACCGACTATACTTTTTATTTCGTATTTACGCTTCGAAATGGGTAGAGGGGTTTCAATATGTCGGTTAGTATGGGTATTATATTAGCAAACTTTCACATCTTTGTTTAAATTAAGCTCACGACAATCTACGGTCGAACCAACATATCTCAAATATTTTCTTAAGAAATTGGCAATAAGAATTCCAATAACTTGCGAGTAATAATTATATCTAAAGGACCACTTACATAGTCTTACGGGCATGAGCTGGATAATCAATAGAAGGGATGGTGATCCATCCCTGCAAGCACTGGACCCGATCTCCCCTAGCTATTCCTAAAAGCGTATGGCCCGATCTGTGAAGGATACTTGCTGTGTCAAGTATCTTCACAAATCAACAATGGGCGGGGAGAGGCGGACACAACTGCCGCATCGCATGTCGGGAAGCGGATAAGGCTCTGCTGTTACCGCATCCCGCCTAAGGCGATTGTTGGTGGCGCCTTGGGGTTTTAGTGGGTATGCACATTCGCGAGTCCCACATAACCCTCCCGCACTAAGCAGTCGCACCGCGGTAGGGTATGCGCAAGGCATTTCCCCAAGTAAAAAAAAAAAAAAAAAAAAAAATGAGCTGGACATTACAAAGGCACAAGTATACTGTACCAATCGTTTGTTATAACAAAATAGAAAAGAATTTTGCTATGTAAAAATATTGTATTGTGATCGATCACGTTAAATTTGTTATAAAACAGTAACGTAGGCGTACAGAAAATATTAAGATCACATTCATAAAAAAAATGCAATCGTGGAAATGAATTAGAAGCAGAAAGCCTCCAAATCTTAGACACAATCACCTCCGCGAGGAAAGGTAACTCTTGAATTTATTTCTATTTGAATACTATTCACAAACCAAATATAATAAATAAAATAAATCAAAACCGAGCTATAATTACGTGTTATGGCGTGTATACCCTGTTTTATAGGAAACATTTGTCTTCATTTGTTTTTTTAAGATCGAATATTTAACTTTAAGACGCTGCACATAGCCTAGCGGTCTTATTAAGTGGCAGCTAGGTGAGGGGTACCGGGTTCGATTCCCATTTCGAGGGCAAGTTTTAATTTAATTTAAATTTGTTCTCGGCCTTTTGGAGGGTTGTGCGGTACCGGGCGAGTGCTTAAACCGTACATGGAGGCCACGGTCGAATTTCTAAGGCAAAGCACGAATTATAAAAATCTTATACTTGACGCTGGCTAATAATAATAATAATAATAATTTTTATTAATCAGACAAATACAGTCCATTGATTGATTAGTGAGTTAGTATCAATAGTTTCTTAAGATCTATGTTAGAGAATTAGTAAAAATAAGGAAAAAGTAGTTAAATCAAAACTATCAGGTACAAATCCCTGCGGAGATGTCGGAGCAGTGTCGTAAATAGGGGCACTCCATTCTTTCGACTATCATCCGTAAGATTTTGCTGGAGCTGCCCCGCACCCGGCGCACCAAAGAAGCGCACCGCTTTCGCATAGTGGCGAAAAAGCAATCCACCCGCGCCTCTGCAAACATTCTTGATGCACTGCAGTAGCGAGGCAGCCCCAGCAACACCCTAAATGCGTTATTATACTGCACCCGAAGCGAGTTGTATGTTTGTCGAGTAAAACTGGCCCATAGGCTGCACGTGTAGAAGTTAGAATGCTCAAACCGTGCCAGATCCATAAAAAAAGACGCTGCACCAGAGCTTACGAGTAAGATTCGAGACTTACTATTTCCAAAACCCAATACGTTTTAGATATACGGGTCATACTTGCTTTCGTCTCTAAATCTTACTCATAGAGAGACTTAGCGTTCAGTAGGATTAGTGTTCGTTTGAATCGAATTCGATTGGTGCCGAACTTGACACTATTTCTAACACTACACGAACAAATACCGCAGAAATCACTTAGTATTGAATCTTTTTAATATATTTTGTTTGTGTTGAAACCATTTGTAATAAGGACTTTTAAAAATCTACAATTCAGTATAACAGTAGATCTACTATTGATTGACTGAAAAAGTATAATTAAATCTTACAATCTTGAAATGTTTCTAGTTGTATTTTGCACAGTAATGTCTTAATGCTCTACCTTATTGTTCATAGTCCAACTCTAGCTAACATTGCTCCGTAATAGGATGAAAACGATCCTTCTACATTGTGCTATTGAAAATACGCGCGATAATTTTAAATAATTTACCGCGTTTTTTTTTAGTTCTAAAAAACCTAATTAAACAAGGAGAGAATGAATTCGGTTCTCATAAATGTGAATATCCTTCCGGCATATATGATCTCACGGGACGAGCGAGCATACGTTTCATTTTATACCAGTAAATACTTTATTCGCCATATTTCATCATTTATTTAATCTTTATTTAGAAATCTACGAGCAAAAGAAGAAATCGCAGAATTCTTTTCAGGTTTTAGAATGAGGCTTAAATCGAGACATGTTTATTACAGCTTTTGTTTACTTTCGTATCATGGCAAATTACATTACTAATAAAAAATTATGTAAATACACAAACAATATTTTATAACAGATTCATTCAAACTATATTGGGTGTGGTAAGAAGCAAAAAGATCTCAACAATTGCTTACTATTAATGTTCAATGTAACAAATCTGTGTACTTTGAAACTACAAATTAATTTGATTTGAAAGAAAAGTTTATTTTTTTATTAGAGCTTTATTAATACAAAAATTTGTTAGTTAACATTTCTTAATATGAGTATTAGTTGTGTTAGTACAAGTTGTAAAATTTCAGTAAGTTTTTTTGTAGCGGTCTATTCTATGGCGCCTTTTAGGGTAAAAGCCTCCTCCATTTTTCAATTTCTCTTTCATTTTTCTCAATGCATTGTTCAGATCTAATTGTCTTGTTCTGATTATCTTACTTTCAAAGTGCATAATTTTAATTATTGTTAGCGCCTTTTCTTTTTTTTATTATTGTCCTGTTGGAGGTTATTGGAGGGTGGTGGTCACTTTCCCCACAAGGACCAGCCGGATTGGGGAGTATTAGAAATTACTTCATAGGATCATTGAAAGTTATATGAACCCTAAATAGGAATGTTGTACATTATATAAAATATATGCAGGAACTGTGGCGCATCAGTTAGATTTAAATCTTATGTACACTTGACCTTAGTAAACATGCTTTCATATTTTAATATTCGTTAATATGAAAAACACAGTAAAAGTAAAGTACCTTAATATCACTTCATTTTAAGTGCAACAGTAATTAATGTGCCCGCTATGAAACAACGAGTTCATGGACAGATTTATTATACATGGTTTTTTGTTTTATATCTTTTTTAC